AGTTGTCGGATTCGTCATGAAATTTTTATACAAAAACAAGTTGGAAAGAATTTTTCATCACCGAAAAAATTATGATTAAGACACGACAGTCATGTCTTCTTACAACATGTTGCATTGTTTCTCATCGAATAATGAATTTTAAGTAAGAGAATGAAACAGAACACGAATAAAATTGGATCTATGAATTGTATTGATTTCTTACAACGAAGAATGATGCATTCTCCATGAAATAGACAGCTTTCCGTTATTGATAATTTTCACGGACAGTATTTTTGATCTCTTAATGATTTTACATTTGGTACTGATAATTCGAAGTTTGAGCAAATTTTTTTTACGTTTCTTTGGCATGAATAGAAAGAACTCGTCAATTTATCTATAAAAATCTTATTCTTGACGTATTCAGACGATGGTTTTCTCATGAAAATTAGGAAAGTTGGATTTAAAAATTTCCGGAAAGTCTATAAAATTATAAAATTTGAAATAAGCTAAAAAAGGATCAAATCTTGATAATCTCTATATTTATCCGAATTGTATTTTGTTTTTACACATCTTATAGTTAGGAAAAAGTTTATGCATGTTTTTTTTAAAATTTTGTTGGAAAAATCGATTTTCTCGGTATGATACCAAAATAAGCCTCGACAACGGGTTCCATTCACAGATTTTCACGATCAAAACTTCAATTTCAAAAGAAACGAGTAGCATGTTCAGAACCAGTACAAAAATCTACATCGAATATTATACTTAATACTCAAAACTAATTTTTTGTCAAATTTCAATCATATGGGAACCATAGATCAGAGTACTCGAAAATAAAAGTTAGAGATATATAGACGAAAATTTGATGAAAATAAGTGTTGAGTATTAAGTATTTTATTCCATGCGTATAAATTTGCTGTTTCTGAATATGATATTCATTCTTTTTCTGGAATTGAACTTCTAACCATGAAAATCTCAGAATACATACTCGGATAAATATTGAGCCTGTCAAGGCTTGATGCGTTTTACGTATGCTGATTTTCATAAGGTTTTCTAGAATTTTTAAATCCAGTTATCCGAACGTTCACTACAAAAATATCGTTTGAACATGTCAAAAACAATATTTTTATAGGTAACTCGACGAGTTCTATCTAACAATGACAAAAAGCGTTAGAAGAAGTTTTGTTCTAGTTTCCATTTGATGGCAGTTTACTTTTCATCGCCAAGTGTTTTCAGCATTAGTTTCATATTGTTATTACTCAAAAAAGTGTACAAATTAAACAATATATGAGTGAATCGTAACTTTTTGATACGATTGAAATTTTAGCTGTCTTTGACTAATAATTTTTTGTTACACAACTACACCATATTTCAGTTGTCCATCTCAGATAGTCACTGAGTTATGAAAGACATATTACAAGAAAACGTCATTTTTTGGTGACATATGCAAAGAAAAGATAGTCTTTTGACTACCATAAAAGAAGGCAAAATGATATAAATAGCCTGATAGTATAGCGTTTGATGCTCTGTCATAATATATAATTTACTTGAATTTTCTTCTTTATTCCCTTGTTGTACGTTCCCATAGTTTGACAGATAATTGCTTATTATTATGTAGAGAGGCACAAATTCAATTCTAGCTCTTCTTGTGATAGAGCTAGTAGCATACATAACATATGAGAAGAGAGTGAATTCTTGCACTAACGAACTGGTGAGAAAATATTCTCTCCCATCAGCTTTATTCGAGAGGAAAAATAAAAGGACTCAGTAAAAGTGAGTCATTATACTTGTTTTATGGAATGGCATTTTGAAAATTCCTTACTCTGTAACTTTTTAATGAGTCGTTCGCTTTGGCTCCGTTTTTTTAAAGTAGATATCAAACACAACGTTATACAAGTGATGAAAATTTCAGTCTTTGATCTTTTACCATTCAGAAAAATTGATATTATTCTCAAAATGTAGAGTGACACTTTTTGGCAGATATTTCCCATTCAAAGCTGAAAATAGTGATTCGAGCTCTTTTCCCTAAGGAAAGTCAATTTCATACTTGCATGAAGAAGAAATTAAACTGTAAAATATGTACTCCTTTTAATATTCTGGTAAGTGTTTGGAAACTTTTGTAGCTGAACACAAGCATAAAGTATAATATAATTTATTACTCATAAACTATTTAAGTCTATTTTCAGTTTTTCGTGTCAATCGTAGCAAAATTTGCAATTCACTTATATATACGCATATATGCATTTGACCATATTAACTTAGGAAACAGTATTTCCAACTGGATAACGTGTGCGTGTGCTTATTTTTACTCGGATAAACATTAAAAAACTGTTGTTTTTTGTGCAATCCTTATTATAAATCAACTGCATCTGTATTATAAACTTGGTTTTAATTATCAAATCAGAAGAAAGAGAAAATATTGTCATTGGTCTAAAAATGGGTTGTTGCAAAAGTTTTCTATGTATCAACACTTTACATTTGCATCGATCGAATTCAACACGCATTTTCTCATCCTTTACTCAAACTGAAATGGTACAACTTGGAACTCTGTTGTCTAAAATACCTGATCATTATCAAGAAGCAATTATTAATCTACCAGTACGAAAACTATTAAACTTTTATCACTATCATTTGATGGCTTTGTATTATGGTCAACAAAGACAATGGTTATTGGCTGTATTATGCGAACAGCACGTAATAAAAGGCTTACAAGCTTTGATGCCCACAGAAAAAGATCATTATATCTTCTTTAATTTTTATAGCGTATTATCAGCATGTTTGTTAGCACTAGGTGAAATTCAAACAGCGATTGAAGGACTCCATATAACTTTATCTATTCTATTAAAACATACACCGATGGACTATAAAACAATAAGTAATCATTACTACCATCTAGCTAATGTATATAAAATTATACCAAATTGGGAAGCAGCGAGTCAATATATAACAAAAGCAATTGAATTAGCACGACTCAGTAATGATTTAGACCAAGAATATATTCACATTCTTGAAACTAATTTCCAAGTGATACAGTAAGTAGATTGATGAGAGGCATATTCTAGCAAATAATGTGAAAATCTCCAGAGAAAAAGAGAAACAGATTGCATAGTATTCAGGATTATATACTTGCTCATTATACAAGTCAACACTTACAACATATATCATGTATAGTAAATATGCTACAACACAAGTTAACCTTCTCGAAAAGAAACATGACATTTTTTGATGTTGAAATTTCGACATTTTTTCTCTTTTGTTTTAGGAAACGATATGCTAATAATATGCTGTGCAATTAAACATTTCCTAAACCAAAAAGCCAAAATTAATCACAATAATCAAGATTTCCACACTCGAAGAATAGCTTCAGTAATTGTGTTTAATGCTAACTATGATACATTTCAGTTTGATTTGATTGAATTTAAGCCTTTACCTTGAAAACAGACAAAATAACAGATTATTGATAAAATTCGACGAGATCTTTTTAAAATATTTCAAAAAACATATCGCTTTAGATTAGATATGATGGAAATACTTCTGTACTCATCTGATCAAGGTTTATTGAAGTTCAGTTCAGTAAATTATAAATAAAAGCAACCCCTTATCAATGACAGTGATTAAAGCAACATTGACAATGGTTATTGAATGACTAAATAAAAAAAATACAACTAATGACAAACTATGTTATATTGAAACAATTGCCAGTGTCACTCTTTTATATGCATAATAGTCATTTTTATGGAAAAGAGCTTGTTGTATTCCAAGTGACAGAAAAGGATGACTAGTTTGATTAATAAATGATAAATCTATTTTGATTAAATTTCTATATGGTTTTTTAATCATTCCCATTCAGTTAAAAACTAACGTTCTACATTGTTAAATTCTAAATTTTATTAACAAATTTAAAGCAATAAATAATAGAATTGATTCTGCTATTAGTATATTTTCAAATCTATATCGTCACCTCCATCAGTTATCACGAGTAAACTATCTTAGAGTGTTCGCCAAAGAGTCCAAGTGTTTTGAATTTCTTTTAATAAAAGAATAAAAAGATAAATGAATGAAATGGTTATACGTAGCATCAGATCACAAATTTTTTCTTCGTTAACAAAAGTATTCTTACATTCGTATGATGTTGGAAACGAAACCTTAATAGCTCTTGGTATTATTCAGGTAGATAATTCATCAAGTTTTATCTACTCTTCGAAGTAATCAAACAACACTAATCAGAAATGTTTAATACATAACTTATCTCTTTTTCCATAGGAAATTGTTTTTTATTGACAGAAAACTTATATATCTTATGCGAAAGTGAAAAAATGTAAGAATTTTATTTTATTTTTTTTGATGAAAAACGGTTTCGTATCAATAGTAATATCAATTGCTATACTAGCAAGTAAGTAGACAGAGTTCTATACTTAGGGTGTACCAAAAGTTCTGATCATCATATTTAAAAGACTTTTTCGATAAGGTTTCCTATTCAAAAATGAGAAACCAAATACACCATGTTGTAGAGTTTTTCGAGATGCATCGAGTAGTATATAGTAAATTCTATTTTCATAAGACTCTGAAAGAGTTAGAATCAATTTACTGATAGACGACTACATATCCACATGCATCCATACTAGCACCTATACTCAACAATGATAAATTAATGAATATTGTTGTCCTTGCTATTAATCAAAAATATTTGTAAAATGCCTTTTCTCACATATGACTTTGTAGAACTTTTAAAGGACTACAATCTCATATGCGTAGCATCTCCGATCATCTTGTGGATGTGAATATGGATGGATGCATGTGTGAATGTGTAGTCGCCTATCAGTAAATTGATTCTAATTCTTTCAGAGTCTTATGAAAATAGAATTTACTATATACCATTAGATGCATCTCGAAAAACTCTACAACATAGTATACTTGGTTTCTCATTTTTGAATAGGACGCCTTATCGAAAGAGTCTTTTAAACATGGTGATCAGAACTTTTGGTACACCCTAAGTAAAATAGTTATAAAAGTCATGAAGCGTATCATTTACATCCTTGTCTTGTTTTATAAGCACCCCAACAAGCTGCATAAGCCATTTTGTGAGAAATTGTATGTTGTTCCATCGTTCCTATAAATAAATGACTCCATGGTCCTTGTGCGAACACAGCCACATCTTCACCAGCATGTGTTGCTTCTACCATTGGATTAGCTGCTGGCCATTTATATTCGGTTCTATTAAAATCTATCGAATCAAAATATGCCTTATTGCGAGTAGCTGCAAAATTGGGACCGTTGCCATAAGTTATAATATGCACTGGCATTTTATCAACAGTGCTCACATTAGCATTATCTAGCGTACCAAACCCAAAAATGTTTGAGCCACGAGCTGATCCAGCACCAAAAGAAAAAGAATGGGAGTGATCAGCAGTAACAACAAGTAATGTATCATTAAGAACACCTTTTTCTTGTAGTATACGTTTTACTTGGCCAATAGTATTATCAAATTCAACATAATCATCAAGCGCATATCTCGCCTGAGTAAAATGATGACCATGATCAATTCGACTTCCTTCGATGAATAGAAAAAAACCATTTTTATTTTTGCTCTTCAAAAGCAGATGTTCGACAGCAAATGTGGCCATTTCTGACAAGCTTGGCTCTTCTTTCGATTTTTCAATTCGATCGGTTTCAAAATTCATTTGATCATAATGGAAAAGACCAAGGATTGGTTCCGGCGATCCCAACACAGTCTTATGAAGTTCTGTCTTGTTCCAAATATACTTACCTTTCCAAAACTCATCAATCAATGAAATATTATCTGTACGTGCTCCATATAATGAAGAATTCGCGACATCAGGTTTTTGCGTTGGATAGAAGAATCTTCGACCTCCACCGAAAAGAATGTCGATAGGTGGTGACTGAAGCATGAGCTGATGAGCAATGTCTACACAACCTTGCGCAGCTTGTTTCGCACCAAAATTGATTGAATCATAGCCTTCCCAATTACGTTCAGGAGAATGAGCATATGCAGAAGCTGGTGAAGCATGAGTGATTCGAGAAGTAACCACAATACCGACAGGATGTCCTAATCATGATAAAGAAAAAGAATTTTTCAAAAATTTTATCCATAGAATTCGTTGGTTTCACCATTACAACAACTTTTGGAAACATGATTGTTTAGGCACAAGAAATGACACTAGACTCAAATTTCGAGTTATTTTTATATCTAATCTAACTGTAAGACAAGAAAGGAGAACCTAGACTTTTAACATTGAACAGAAGATGATTGTTCAATTAAACAGCACATCAGTACAAAATAACGAAACTAGATACTCCAAATACAACAGCAATATCAAGATGCTATGGAAATGTACACGTATGATGAATAATCCAAGATGCTCGATATCCAAGACTTTGCTTTTATGATAAAAATGGTTTTGTAACATCGCTTTACATGAAAACATAATTTAATCATCGAATAGGGTTTCTAGACTAAAGTTTACTCAGTCAAGCTACTAGTCAATGGGATAATTTTTAATAAGAAAATTCAATTAAAAAAATACATTCGCTACCGAAACTTTATTTCGATTGCAAATGATGATATTTACCGAGTTCTTTTGCCCAATCCAGTATGCTGTCGACGTGAGCTCCGTGTGAACTCAAACAATTTGCTCGTGAAGCTCGTCCATCTAAACCAATTGTACCAAGTGATGTTTTCACTCCACACAATAAAGCAGTTGCTGTCGCAGCTGAATCTGATGTTTGATGATCAGTACAATAACTTAACATTCATCATAAAATAAAAAAAAAGAGATTAAATCGATTCAGAACGAAGACCTACGTTTTAACAAGTCCTAGATGAGAAAATTGTTCCATTTCAGTGATAAAATCTTCACCCAACTGACCAAGTATTTGTCCTTTTCGAATTCGACCTGCCGTAATCGTTGAAATACCCATGCCATCACCGAGAAAAAAGATAACATTTTTTGCTATTCGTTTGTTTTCTTGCCTTCGAAGATTATATTCAATATCCAACCGAGCTTGTTCGTTCCAAAACGATGGATTCTTTTCTTCCGACCAGTCCGTTCGACCTGTCTCGATATTTATAGGTAAAATACTGATTAGTAAGATGACAAAAAAACGATACACTAGAAACAATAGAAAAAGTTGCATTGACTATTGAAATTTTCTCAAAACAAACAGCGATCAAGTGAATAGAATGGAGATTTCAGACTTCTTGTGCAAACAGATTCAAAATTTCGATAGGAATTTGTGACTCAGAATTTATTAGCCATATTCTATGAGGTTTATAAATTAAATTTAAAGAAACGCAATTACTAATAGAAACCAATCAGTATGATAGTGACCGATTATAAGAGGTTTTAAAAGCTTTTCGATCTTTTTTTTGATGAAAGAATCGTATTGATTACATTGTTTTAAATCAACATTGCACAAATTATTTCAGTTATTTTGTATATTTCTCGTTTCTTAAGATTTTTCGCTAATCATTGACTGGTAGCATTGGGTATAATTAGATCGTTCCTTTATTTCTATTTGTATCAATTTGTTTCTAAAATTTAGTTTGTACGTCTGTTACAGATTAACTAATAAATTTTAGGTGAAAAATGTTTAAAAAATTCAGATCCCACCTTCAGAGAAAATACGAAGTGTAATATCTGAGACAATCACTTTGAACATTTGGAAGAATTTTTCTTCTACCAACAGAAAAGGGGCCTGAACAATGTCTTGATCAAGTGAGACATTGTACACGTTCTACAAAAAATGCCTTATTTTCACAAAATCAATCCCAGATACTTCCATAGAGAACAAACTGCTTCTACTTCAAAGTCGACAAGTTGCTCATTCTCATAGAAGAATATTTTCGAAGTCTCTATCAACCAAATAATATAGAAATGTACAATTTTATGTTCTATCAAAATCTGCTTCATTGCGACGATTCATAGTTTTTCGCCTGACACAAAAAAGCCCAAAAATAGATAAGCGATTGTATTTTGCAAAGAGTTTTTTGAATAAAAAAATATTGATTTAAGACTTTGCTAAGAGTCAAAAGGATAGACAAAAGATTTTCTTTTTCCACTTTTTGTCATATTGGATTGACATCCCATGTTATAAACTATTAAAACATGTTATTATTCACTGTCCTAATTGGACCTATGGTTCACGGAGAATTATTTTACAACAGAATCGAATAAAGGAAAACTAATATTTCGAATCTACTACATACACGGCTAGAATGTTAAGTACAATGAAATATTGATTTTAAGAAGAAGAAATTTAGACACCAATTATTTTGACCGGAACTGGAGAAACAAAGTTCAATAATGAATTAAAACGTTGTACATAGATTAGACTCCGTGTTGTGATAAAAAACTATATATTAATCGACAGCAAAAATTGAGGGAATCTTTTCAGATATACTTTATTATTTCGTTCAAAAATTATGATTTCTTTTTCTTTTATTGAGACAATCCACTATGATACAAAATATTGAAAAATTCATAACTGAGTAGAAAAGCATTCCATGAGTGGCTATCTGACAGCTTTTAACATCTATTCTAAGTACAAAAACTTTTATATATTGTAATCGATTTCGAATAAAATGTGTGTATGATCGAGAGGAACCTCTCTGATTCATCATGAATACATGATCTATCATATACTTACATAAACGTTTATCTACGTTCCTCCTTCAAGTAAGAATGTTCTTTCTAATTTCTTTCTTGATACTTCCTATTTGTTCTCCCGTTATGAATGTACTGGCTGTTTTCAGGAATCAAATTACAAACTAACAGTGCTAACAATGCGATATATCTAAATCTAATCAAAGCACTGAAAACAGAAAGAAGTAGTTTTGTAGGCTTTGGAGAACCAGGTGTGTTTTGCTTTTGCAGGAAAAACTATGTAGCTCTAGGGAGAAAAGAGATAGAAAGCTGGAGCTTTTCACAACTAAAATGCACATTAAGAGTTATCCTAACGACCTTCATAGTTTTTTCTAGGCCACTTTACATGATTTATAAGTTAAAGATCCTTGAGATCGGAGGAGAAAACCAGTCAAAGTTACTTCGTTGGTAATGGTTTTTAAAGTGAACGTGGAAATAAGTTTGCTGCAGCAATGTAGTTAAACATACATTTTACTTTCTATTCGATGATGTAAAAAAACTATGGACGTACTACTTGTTTGAAAATTTTAAATAAGATTGATCTCTTTTTTTTATCTAATATAAACTTTTGAAATTTCTTCATTACTGTCATCTATACTAAATTTCATCAATATCCCAATAAGATGTAGAAGTACACTTACTGTTTTTTTGTACTCAAAGACTGTTGTAGAAATATACGTCTGATTTACTTTATTTGTCTATTATATAAATATATTTATCCAATAATCTCCATGACATTAGAAATAATCTGATACACTAATCCATTTCTCGTGTTTTGCAAATATATCCTTAATCTTCACTCTTCTTGTATTGTATTATTTGACAGCTTTTATGTTCTTGAGATACGAAATCTTCAAAGATGCCAAGTTTTCAGTAAACTTTTGAGCAATAAAAATATTTGGCTAGCTTTCATATTTTATTCGCACATGATAATTATTTAACACTGATAAAACAATGTACAAATTATTATTTTCCTTGCCATAATTGATAGAACAACACCTTTGAGATTGAATATATTGATCAAGGGTAAATATGACCTATCACTTGAATGAGAAACTGTTTCTAATAGAAAAATATCTTCCAAACTAAGTTGCAAAAAACATGTATAAATTAGTTAAAGAAATTAATGTCATACGCTTGCTACCGTTTCTTTCTCTATCCTTAAAAAACACTTTTCGAAAGGTGTTGTCTTTTCATCCTACATCAACAATGACAATCTACTTGGTAATAAAGTCAAAAAGCGTAAAGATACCATAAGAGAATCAGCAGTCTTAAAGAATCATTAAATTCGTAACCAAGTTATCATATAATCAAGCAGTAAAAGAGTCTTATTCAACATCTTGTTTGCATTCTTTAATATCGATAGGTCCTAAAATGTTACTTTTTTCTACAAAATCGGCTATCAAGTTTTATTTCGGTATTGCAACTCTTTACGTCGTTTGTAGTAAAACCATTTTCATAGATTCATTCGTTGAGTTATGTATCCTACTGATAGTAGGATATTTTCAAAAAGAATCAAAACATACTCTAAGCTCAATACTTTCTCCTGTAGTTTGCCTTTACTAGAAAAACACATGTTTTATTCACTTGTGTGAATGTGAAGCAATCAAAATGTGTGATCTATATTGATGATTATCGCGCCATTTAAATTCTGAAACAATCAGATGATCTGTATAAATATTTTATGATATTTAGAACAACGAAACAGAGTCTAATTGAAGATCCAATAAAATTATACAACAATATTATTACTGTAGATTATATTCAAATGTCTTTTCAACGAACAACAACAGCATGCAAATGCGCTTGACCTGCATAGTACCCAATACTCTATTTTCTTTCTTTTATTGTTTGATGTTGACTGACTGCAATAATGGTGTTGTCTGAAAGTTTTGATGCAAGAATTTCTCAAAACTGTAATTTTTATGTACCCTACTTCAATCTTCTTTCTACTGAAATAAGTACAGTTTCATGGGTTTCGAAACACAATATGAAACTACTTTTTTTTCTGCTTTATCATATTTCATGGTTGAGCAATAGCAGATGTCTTCTAAATTTTTCTTTTTTCTTTTCGTTCGCTAAGGCTAGCTTTTGCCTTTGTATTGTCACATTTTTTTTTATTGTGGTAATTTCGATAAGAACGAAAAAAAAAGCGATACCAATGATCGCAAAAAGAACGAAAAGTATGGCAAACGAGAGCAAAAAGACGTTGAGAAAAAGAATAACAAAACGCCACGCATATAAGACATGTGTTACGCTCTATACTGCATTAATTTTTTCACACATATCCAGTCGACGCATAAATGCAAACATGAGCAGCACGTAGAAAGTAACAGTGAGTAACTGCATAAAGTAAGAGAGAATGAGTTCAAAGTCTTTTTTAACATGGATGACTCTTTCAAGAATGTACAATTTTTTTACATTATGTTTATTCATATTGTTAAAAGCTACTATCTGAGCTAGTAGAACTTACCATTCGAAATATAAAGCCTATTTTGATTATAGATGAGTGTCTCTAGTTTATTGTAATATAATAATAAAAACTAACTTGATGTATGATTCGTTGAACGTGTTATTTTCTATTCAAATATGTATCCCAATCATAGCAAAACCTTTGAGCAAGAATGAGTGAATCAGATAGTGCCGAGTGTGTTCTAATCATTTTTCTACTAATGTCGGCTAATTAGAAACGATAAGTTTGACGTAGATGATTGTTGCATAAGCGAATATTTATACCTTTTCTACAGTATTTATATAATCGTATGAAACTATTTATTATACAGCAGGCAGATTAAAATGTGAAATATGATAGAACCATTTTAATTGTGATCAAGAAACCTTAATACATCGATAATAGGTTTCGATGGAATCAAAGATCAGCAGATTGAAAATTGTTAATACTATTAAAGACCGTGACAAAATCATTGACATCATTTTTCTAAATTTTCACAAGGTAATTAAAATATGAAATAATAAACTTATGGTAAAAAGGTCCAAAAAATCAAATCGAAAAGTCTATCACAGTCTGTAAAACAAGGTGAAGGTTCATATTTCTACTTATATACTTCAGCAATTCTTAGCGATCACAATTATGTCACAGAAAACATGAATAATTGTTCATTGAGGTTGTGTACAATTTATTTCTGTGGGACGAAACAAAAATTAAACATGACAAAAACATTTACAGGAAATAGTTCGCTATCGATCTCAAAAAAACACCCCGAAAAAGTTATCAAGTATCACTATTATTTTTCTCATATATTCCACAAGTTTTCATTATAAATGGGTTAGGTTTTAGTTTTATTTTTTTTTGCATTTTTTTCAATCGCATTTTAGAAATGATATTACAAAAATACCAATTTTTCGATCTACCTGATTCAAATGTGCACGTTGAGAAACATACGGCTAGCTGTTGTTGCCAAACGTGTATATATTTGTGAGTGATGGATCATTGTATCTTTTATTTTTCAGTGATTTGTCTTTTTGATTTTTGTTTTGTTCTTATTATATGAAGGTCATAATATAGCAGAATGTTACGTGAGAAAAGCAAGTGATTATTTTCTTTTCTAGATGACATCGACAAAGACGATTCTACAAGTGATTTCATGTCAAGAATTAAAAGAGCTTCTTCAAGTGTCACCACTACAGGTTGTAGTACTCGAAGCAGATATCGGCAAGCAAGTTGAAGCTAATTTTAAAGAGTACGTTTTGTCTACTGGTTTAAATTCATAATTTTTTGTCTGTGCTAAATATATGATTGAATGCTTTTCCTAGAGGTCATATTCCGACTGCTCAATATTTTGATCAATTGGAATATACCACGCCAACGGCATTCATTCCACGTGGTTTACCTAATGTGAAAAGTTTCGAAGACTACCTAACACGTTTAGGAGTTTCGAATGAAGATCATATTGTTCTCTATGATCGTTCATCAGCAGGTTTTTTTGCTGCTGGCCGTGCTTGGTTTTTGCTTAAGGTACGCAAAAAATTATTAGTGAAGTTTGTCTATATTCAAAGTGAGTGTTTCTAGACCTATGGTGTCGATAATGTGTCGATTCTTAATGGTGGCTTTCAAGCATGGGTAAGAGAAATCAATGAAATTGAAACGTCGGAGGTTAATCATCCGAAAAAAGAGGTAGAATATCTTAGTTTACGAAATATTCGACAAAATCATTTGATATTTCAGAAGAAAAAGTTTACCGTGAAATTGAACGAACAAATGGTGCGATATTTCGATCAAATGGTATCGAATCTCTCTTTAGACACCAATAGCCCTCAACGTGTGCAAGTTGTTGATGCACGACCACCAAATCTATTCTATGGTGAGTGAAAATGATATTTTTGCAGAACAATTCTGTTCAAATGTAATCGAAAATAGAAGCAATCTTATAGTTGGATCTAAAGTGCAACATTTTTCTTATCATGATGTATACTTTTCTTTAGGTACCGAGGCCGGTCATATGCCTAATGCCGTGCATTTGCCTTACGGGTCGTTGTTCGATCAAGCTAATCAATACTTGAAATCAAAAGATCAACTGGCAGAAAGTAAGCTGTCATGATTGACCGTATATTTAACTAATTTTTGTTTTTGTTCAAGTATTCCAAAAAGCTGGTGTTGATCTGTCGAAACCCGCCGTTTACACGTGTCAAGGTGGAGTAACAGCTAGTGTACTGGCTTTTGTTGCTCATTTACTTGGTCAAAAAGAACATCCCGTTTACATGGTAAGAGACCACGAAAAAGTGAAATTCAATAACATAAGATGCATCACATCTATTGACGTTAAATGATCTTAACATCATCTGTGGAAAATGACTCCGAAAAAGAGAACTGCTAATGTGTAAAAATAAAACTACCGTATCGTTCGAAACCTAATGATAGTTTAGTATTTAAGACTAGAAAAATTTTCGACAGTATTTTTTTAATATTTAACTTATGTTCTCATATTTTAGGGCGCATTTACTGAATGGCAACAGCGTGCTCCGGCAGATATGATCATCAAAGGCGATATCAAACCTGCTGTTAGTTAAGAATTGTGACTCTACCATTACTGCATTTTAGTTTTCAATAAAATCAATTTTTTCATCATTTCCTCACAATAACTTGACCACTTGTTCGATCATTTATTGATAATCACACCCAATAAATTCAATTGACTATTAATGATACTGTATTATTTGTATGTGCTATTTAGAGTTTTTGAGGAAGTGACCATGAGTTCGAGATTTCAATTGAATGATTGAGATTAGCAGATCGCATGTGCCAAAAAAAAACAACACGACAATATCCATTAAGACATCATTTCGAACAGATTCAAATAGAACAAAGTTTCCATATCTCAAAACATAATATCAATTTAAGTTGATTTAACGAATCATTCGCAAAGTTGAGCTGATAGAAAGACGTATCATTTGGTCTACTCCAAATACAGTGCTCCATTGCAATCTAGTCGAATGTTATATATGTTGAAATAAATCCATTTATAAACGACATTCATCAGTTCGACATTGTGGATATTGAGTTTCATTTTATTTATTAATTTTTAGCATGACACATCAGTTTTTCATTTTCACAAGCATAATCTACAGAAATCAATGTCTTTTTGTAATGTGAGTCGTTTGTAAATAAGAGAAAGAATCGGCGTGGCGGCATGTTCTCCATCATCATTGATTCTGATAATTTACGATCAAATTTTTCATATCATTGAAAGACTTCGATAATTTGATTCACTCAAGATGAAATATTTTAGAATGACCAATTCTCTTACAAACAACTCTCAATTAGCGATTATGAACTAACAACTCGAATGACAATGACCATACTGAACTGTGTTATTTCTCGAATGAAAATATTGGATCCAAATTTGACTAACTCTTTTCTTTGATAAAAACTAAAAGAAGAGAATGAACATGGGTGTGGATGTCGATTTGAGGCGTTGATATATTGGTGTGTCTGCGTGGGTGAGGTGCTCACATGCACAAACAAACTCACATCAGAGTAACAGTGACACATGCAGTCATAGCAACACACCCGCATCCAAGCCATACTTTTACACTCACATCCTACACCGAAATCTACACCTACAGTCACACCCTACAACCCAACCTACACCCATACCCATACCCTCAAGATGTGTAGGAGTGTTGTGCTCAATTGAGTTGAAAATACTGAGATTTCTTCACGGAATAGTCGTTGTAAATCATTGGAGAGCTTTTATAGTAGTTTCGAAGAAAATATTACACAGCAATAGCATATCCCTTTGTGATGCATGCAGTCATAATAACAACCAATAATTTGCCACGCACATACGCTGCGCAATAAACTCAGTGAAAATGCAGGACGCATTAGCAAATAAATAGCTCCTGTTCTTTTTACATTTTGGTCACTATTTTACGTTAGAAGTAAGTGTTTCGAGCGAGAAGCAAATAAAAAGTACCAACATCTTTCGACGAAAATGGCAAACAGCCTCAATGCGTCTACTTGTCGGGATCTTCAACCGGCAGACACGTCGAAAAATAAGGAAAACATTCGACTCATCTGGCTCGATGTCAACATCGATAATTCTTAAGATTCTTTGCACACGCAAACTCTTTTGCTTGAATTCAATCCTGTTGCTCAATTCTATACCGATAGTACACGACGTGTTGATGTGATCAAATCGATGTAAGGCGAAGAAATTCTTCTGATCATTTCTGGAGCATTAGCCCGAGATGTTCGTTCACAAGTTCACAAGCTTCGGAGTCTCGTTGCTGTTTTTATCTTCTGCAGAAATCTCGCGTATCATGTCAAACTTATGTCTTCATAGTCGAAGTTTGTCGATATTCTTTATCATGCAAGATGAACTGTTACAGATTCTTTGTGGTACAATGGAAATCGTAGAGAAACAGTTTTTACATTTAGCCTCTTTGATCAAAAACAGAAAGCCACACGAGATCTGTCTAAAGATTCAGCTTCCTTTTTATGGTATCAACTTCTGCTCTACGTTTTAAAAAAGATGCCTCAAGATGATCAAGCAAAAAATGAACTGCTTACAACGAGCTTCAATTACTATGTAATGAGTAAGGAAGAAATGAAGAAGATCGAGCGATTTTGCAAGTTCTATTTTCGTGAAAAAGCAATCGAATGGTATACGAACGAAAGTCTTCATTGTAAATGGCTGAACAAAGCTATTCGCACCAAAGACATTGAATTGCTTTATGCATTCCGATTTTACATAATCAATTTGTACGACGCGTTGAAAAAAGAAAGCAAAGTATTGAAGACTGGCGGTACGTTAAAGCTCTATACAGGTCAATAAATTTCAAACGAAGAATTCGAGAAACTGCACAAGAGCATTGAAACTCTCATTTCTACTAATGGATTTTTATCAACTTCAAGGAATATGGATGTCGCATTGGTTTTCACTCACCAACTTTGCGTGGCAACTGATATACAAATTTGTATCTTCGAAATCAATGCTGAACCGAACATGAGTGCGGTTGTGTTTGCAGATATCGATAAGTATAGTAAAGTGAAAGGTGAACAGGAAGTATTGTTTGAACTCAATGCTACATTCAAAATTGACCGTGTGGAAATAGATAGTACGCTCAAAATGTGGAGGGTTTCTCTGAGTACAACTACTGAAGGATCAACTCGTATCGAACACTACATGAAACTACAAGAAGACGAAATGAAACTTTGCAGTCCTTTGATTTCATTTGGGCGGTTATTACTCAATAAATTAGCCCTAGTTGATCGAGCGGGGTGTTATTTCAACAAACTACTTCACAATCTTCCATCAAACCATTCAGATATATCATTTGTCCATAACAACATCGGTAATGCATATGCAGCGAAAGGTGAGTTGAACTTAGCACTGAAACATTATGAAGACGCTTATCGAATTTTTCGAGCTACATTGTCTGCGAATCATCCATTAATTGCTGGGCCGTTACACAATATGGGACTCATTTACAAACTCAAGGAAGACTTTGATTGCGCGCTTGAATATCTTCATCAAACTTTGTCAATAGAAGAGAAGAACTATCTATGTGATCATTTAGATAAATGTCATACTCTTTTAAATATTGGCAGTGTGTACCAGTCAAAAGGAGAACTAGACAATGCTCTAGTATGGTATAATCATGCTCTTGACATATACACGAGAGTCCTTCCTACTTCACATCCTGATATTGTGTGTAGCCTAGGATTGGTTGGATCAGTTTATGAAGAAAAATGGGATCTAGATCGTACCATCGACTTCTATCGTCGTCTAGAGATGGAAGAAGAATATTTACCAACTGATCATCCCGATCTCTCTGTACATCTCGATCGGTTGACTAAGGCCTACAAGAAGAAAAGCGGTAAGATTACGGCATTAATATTTTGTGAAAAACAGTTAGCCTCACAGAAGATGATTTCTGGTGATAACCATCCTCATGTTGCCTCGACGCTCATGACAGTGGAAGATATATGAGAAGCTACAGAGCAACGCCGATACTATAAAAAAGACTTGTCAGTCCGCGAAAAATGCACGCCTCGTAAGGAACTGCTCACAATTGATTGTCTTACAATGCTAGGTGCTATTGCTCTAGACGAAGGCAAGTTCGACAATGGTATCGCTCACTGGAAGTATATTCTAGATATACGGCGCCAACTTCATTCACCCGATCATCCAAAGATTGTTTCACAGTTGAAGTTTCTAGGAATAGCCTACTTTGAGACGATACATGACTACTCAGAAGCATTGAGATATTTCTCGGAAAGTTTAGCAATCTACCTAGCAAACTATGGAGATCAGCACGAAGATGTAATTCTAATTATAGAAAATATCCGAAAAATACGCCAAAAACCAAGAGCGTGAACCTAATACAGCTTGACTATATATTGTCACAATCAATGAAAACGAAATTTGATGTGTGACTGTGGTTGTTGACGTTTGGGTGTGTGTAAGTCTTCACTTTACTCACACTCTTTTCGTTATATTAGTCTTTTCTGTATCGAAATGCTATCTCTAACAAGGAGGCAAACTCTTCTCGAATGCAAAACTCACCTAACCAGATTTAATATGCTTCACCAGATTATATATCTTGTTGTTAACATGAGCTAATTGAACGGTATTCACATGTATCGTCTTTCCTAAGATGAATGTCATTTATAAAATCCGAAGTATTAAGAGGGTGTGAGCGTGTGGATATGAATGTGGATGTCGGTGAGAGTGACAATATAATTGCATTCCTAACTCAGCACCTGCACCCATACGCTGTCGATGCAACGAACTGTCTTGTGATGAATTTTCCATGCGACGAATCATCCGCGACAAATTGTTCCAGCGGCAAACTGTATATTTAAGCTACGGATAAAACCCTGCCTGTATTGATACATCTGATCAAATCGTTATACTCTGTCTGCATACACGGTGTTTACTATCCTATAGTCGTTGTTTCTCTACCATCTACTGAAATAAAAACTTATCTTAAGCAATATTCATTTCGATCGACCTAAATAGAAATGCATATCCAATACATTTGTTTGATGCCCTCTCGACATAGAGCTATTGGTTATGAGAGCTCCACTCACTCTTTGCCTTATGAGAGAACGTTGTTTTGAGAGAGAAACTCTATTAGAGTTCAAACAGTATAGCTTCTATTAGAGCTCATGTCTAATATTCATAAATATGTAGAACATACTTAAAGTTTTGACAGTAATAGATAAAATTCGATTAAATTGAGTTAGTCAAGCTTCTGTTTCAGCCAATATATTTTATTTAATAAACGTGAACAATGACACATAATACCAACGCTTTTTCTGAAAATACTTCAGTAAAAAAATCGATGAAAAATTCATCACCTTGGTTACAACAATAAAGAAACTAACAATTATGTGAAACAAACACAATCTACATCGAATGTAGCTTAACAAATCAAAAGAAACTCAAAAACAGTTCGTTTCTTTGGAGAACAAACATGATTATGCTTTTATACGAGAGGAAATTGCTGAATAATAATATAACTGATATTATTATCTAAAGCATTTTACAAACTAAATAAGAACATAAAAATATCAAAAGAGATGATTTTACTATGTAGTGTTCGAATCTATCGAAATAAAAATGCATATCTGTCTGATATTATTTTCATATATTTCATCTGGCCAATAAATTCAATAAAGCAAAGAGACCTCTATTGTAACCAAAGACGATGAATTATTTCATCCAAAATTACTCGACAAAAAAAAAGAGTTCGCTGTCAAATGAATCGATTGTTGTTTATATGAGTCACATCCTACCAGATAAGTGTTTTCTTTTGTATCGAACAGAATAAATTTCAATTTTCTCACATAAAAATTTGAAATTTTAATGTTGAATATTTATAGTAGTTGAAGAAATATATTCTTATTGGTTTATTTACATAGAAACAGACGACATAAAATCGATTTCCCATAGTAGTCTTACTTATAGATTCGCAAAATTGATCATTTATCTACAATGGATAATGAAAGAATGGAACATCCATCATGGTTTAATACAAGATTAATTGAATCGGATTTATATCTAACAACGGAAGATTATTATTATCCAGGTAATCGTCCGAATATTTGGCTTTTACATGGAACAAATCGTGACATTCTTATTGATACTGGCCTTGGTGTTTGTAATTTGAAAAAACATTTGGAAAAAATAGAATTATTGAATAGTAATCGTGAATGTATTGTTATTTGTACGCATTCACATTTTGATCATAGTGGTGGTGCACATCATTTCGATAATGTTGTAATTCATCAAGGTGATTACGACGGTTTAAGTAATGGTGAACAATCAGCCACATTGAACTGGTCTCATTCAACTCATTATCGTGCATCACCCTATAAAAACTTCATACCAGAAGAATACAAAGTACCACCAACCAAATGTGCACCGATTTTTGATGGTCATCGCATAACTCTTGGTGATGATGACGATGATGAAATTCAAATAAAACATGTGCCTGGTCATACACCTGGAAGTATTGTTTGCTATTATCCAAGAAAAAAAGCTTTATTTACAGGTGATTTTGTTTACGACTGCGGAAGTGGTGGATGTTTGTTCGATTGGGCACCAACATCATGTACTAAAGATTATTTACAAAGTGCTAATCAGATGATTGATTGGTTAAATCAACATGAAATAGATAAAATTTATCCTGGACATTATGGAATAATGAATGTACAGCAAGTACAACAATTATTAAAAGAATATATTGAAACAAAAGGATAATCGAGCGTATTAACAATTAATTTTCATTTTCAAATTCAAGAATTATTTGAGAGATTTTGTCTGTAAATGACAAGACAGTAATATTTTTAAAAATGTTTTATTTATTTTTTGTCAAATGCAATATACAGGAATACCGGATGGAGGACAATTATTTCATTCACATTATACGACTTGAACTTTGTAGATATAATAGAAATACTTAATATATATTTATATAAATATCCAAATGATTAGTCGAGTGAGTTACAATAATCAAAAGAATTCAAAGTGAAAAAAAAATGGAAATTCCACTTCGTCAAATTCTGTAAGAGGTAAGAAATGGTTCAATAGGATCAACAAGATTATGATGTGCATAAGTGATAAAATTGTGTTGTTAATGCTCGTTCAATATGATGCTGGAACGGCCATCGTGCCTTCTTTATTTCATTATTCAATACATCATCATATACAATGCTGATCAGAATTGTAAAAACAAAAAACTTTAAAATTTTCTCTAATGCTGAATATACAAATAATAATTCGATCAATTTAAACACAAGTCTGCCTGTAGTCGTGAGTCTTCTTTTCATCGAAATCCATGTTCAAGACCAGATCCAGACCCTCACCTATATCATCTATTATGCCATGAGATCATCGAACTGTACTGGTTCATCGTCTTGTAGGTGCTTCTTATTGAGATAGTTCACCCAATTTCCAATAAATTCAAGTTTGATACTCTGATGACTACCATTAAAATTGATTACAGAGATAAGCTAAACCATGAGAGTGGGTAATCGCGATAGTTACTTCTTCAGCTACCACTAAACCCATATCCATACTTTAGGCAAGATCCATAATTCGAATATTCAAATTGAATTAATGAGATATATACCCCTGAAATAGTTATGAGAGTACAGAAAAGGAAGTAATCATTAACAACTATCTCTATTTTTTAAAGCTATATTCTTTTAATGAGACAGTTAAACAATGAAAATACTCGATAACTTTTTCTCATAGAGTCAGAAGGCATTGAATATCTGATTTTTCAATAAAGCAGAACATTTTATGATATCATTAATAAAACTGCCTTCTCCATCCCGATTTTGTCAGACTATTGATACTACATAAATTTTCTTGGAAGCTGAAAAAATCAAAGTCGAGAATGAAGAAAACGTTTGATTTATTGACTGCGTGTGGATGCTTTTCTTCTTCAATGAGAATAATTACTTACGTACATCGTTCGTAAACATATCATTTTTTCCTCGAAAAAGAATGACGAGAAAAATTAGCGATATCAATTAACCGTTGTTTGCTATTCAGAAATGGATCATGTTATAAAAAATGCAAAAAAAACATAATGATGTCAAAGTTGAAATAAATTATATTCAGTACTGATTTGAGCAAAAGAACCAGCTAGAACAGCATCAATGTCTGTATTCAACTTATTTTCAGATTATTCATCAAATTATGCAGTTTGACATGAGAACTAATGTCAGTTGCAGCTGCATGTTTTTTTATGTATTATTATAAACATCGTTCAGTACAATTTTCTACTTTGGCACTGGCATTTTATCAAACTAATAACATTTCGACGAAATTCATTCATTGTCACCATGTAGAGTGGAAAAGAAGACATATGATAAGTATAAAGGATAGAATGGAGGATTTGAAGATTTTAAGTACGCTGTTTTATGAAAAAAGAATGCAAATCCTACACTTGCTGGTATTGTCATGATGCAAAAGCGACACGTTGTAAGAACGAGTGTTATTGTTATAGCTCGATGTTGTATTTGTGAATTTTGAATTGAACTTTGTTGACGTTAATGTACCCAATGATATATTATACCAGTGTTAAAAACTGTCATTAGAACAAATTGTATACAATTATATACAACTAAATGGATACGATCCCAAAGAGGATAAATTGTATAGAAAATGGAATTAGCATTGATCGATCCATTGGGTTCTTTAAAGCAAGCAAACGGAAAAAAGTGAAAATTAAATAAGGTTAATGTACTCAGAATAATAGTAATGATGATGCGAACATTTTTTAAATTACTAAACCATGTTCGATGAAGATGACGCAATACTATATATCGATCAATACATACTAATACACGCAGCCAGGCAGATCCTTGTGGAGTAAAATAGTTGAGAAATGCAGTTAATGTTCACCAACCGACATAGTACCTATGCAATGTAAAACCATGAACTTCTTTAAGATAATGGTCAAGATCCCAACCATAAAGCATTAGGATATCGAAAATAGCTATACTACGTATAAAATAGAGTGTCGGACGTTGTTTTGCATCATGAAAAGTGGATTGACAAAGAATGAATAATGTGAACAGATGAAATATAGTACCAATAATAATCAAAACCAAAGGATAATAAGCAAAAAGAGCATTGCTTTCCATATAATATTGGTCGATAAAATTCGCGTGATCATTCATTGTGTAACCATTAATTCTCTTGTATACAAAAGCCAATCTAATTTTGATCAAAGGTATTTTCCCAGGTCAAAAAAGCACTATCGTAAACGGTCGTATACGACGAAATACGTCTAGAAACGGTCATCGTACACGACGATCGTATACGATGAACGTATACGGTGCCATACGTTCAAATACAATCAACGTATACGTTGAAATAAACGACTGCCGTGCACGAGTGTAGTATACGACTGTATATGGTCGTAAGTTAGTCGTAAGTTGAGCTACATGTGTCGCCCATACCCAGGTCGAAAAATCACATAGTAAGATCAGTTATGAATTCTTGTATGATCCTATTCGATGTTACTCAAAAATCGTATGTGTTCATACAAGATGATACAAAAAATCATATAAAAAATTGTCGTCTTTGAAATCTGATGTCAATTCTTCTAGCAAGTTTCTTAGATGCTCCAACACTAAAATATTGTATGATTATAAAAAAATCGTACAGTAAGGTTTTAACTGATTTCTTTAAAAACATACATTCTCGTCATGTTTCACCTTCCCGGGCAGCTATAGTTCAACTTAACTTCACATAGCCCAGATCTTTTTACTTACTGAACTCGATGCATAGGTGCCTACACCGGCAGTTATCATTACATAATAAAATTCATAGCATAATAGTCACAAAAACTCATGCATAAAAAATTTTACTCGCTATACCGTTAACAAAGAGAAATAAAAAACAAAAGTTAAGATTTTCTACATTACCAATATAGAAAAAACAAAAAAACTAAAGAATATGATCATCCGCATTATTAATATGGAAAAGTAAGAAAAAAAATGCGACTTTTTGTACTACTAATATAGAAAAATAAGAAAGAAAAATTAGCATTTTCTATATTATTATTATTATAGACGAGTAAGACACAAAACTAACTGTTTCTATATCATCAATATAGAAAAATAAGAAATACAAATTAAGATTTTCTATACTATTAATATAGAAAAATTGAAAAATAAAAAATATTTTCTATATCAGCAATATGCAAAAATGAGAAATAAAACAAATAGTTATCTTTGTTACCAATGTAGAAAAATAAAAAAAATAAGATTCTCATATCACCAATGTAGAATAATAAGATGTGAAAATCAGCATTTTCTATATTACTACTATAAACAGATAAGACACAAAACTAACTGTTTCTATGTCATCAATATAGAAGAATAAGAAATAAAAATTAAGATTTTCTATATAACCAATATAGAAAAATAAAAAATAGGATTTTCTATATATCCAATATAGAAATATAAGAAATAAAACTTAAGATTTGTCATATCAGCAATATAGAAAAATAAGAGGTAAGAAGTTAGCATTTTCTATATTATTGTTATCGACAAATAAGACAAACAATATCTGTTTCTATATCTGTTCATACCAAGAGAAAACAGATGTCGTCTGTTTAAAAAAATGTAATTTTTATCAGTATCAGACACATTTATTCCTTTACAAATTTTTTTTTTCTGACACTCAATTGAAAGGAATAAAACAAATATACCTCTTATTTAAAACTATGTTCGACGTTTTTTCTTCGATCAAGTATAGATTTGAACACAGAGATATTACTCTTCAGTAATAATATCTGTAACGGCAGCAGACATAGCCTGTCTATTTTGTATACATGTATGTATATCTGCATTCTTTTTCCATTAAGTACTCAATTCTTAACATCAGATAGGTATCTCGTATTTGATATATATGAGCTTTGTCTTACATAAAGTAATCAGTTTATAGCAGTAAAAGGATGAATACTTCCTACTTTATACAGTCTGTTTTCATTTCATCTAATATTTAGCTATACGGATAGAGAGACATTCAGATAGTACTATACTGTATAGTCGTTATTGTCAACGAGTAATTCGTTTATGAAGTAGAGAGATATTCCTTACCCAATAGAAATTAGTTAGATGATATTAGATCTTCAGTTTTGAATGAGTCTGAAATCGTTATTTTTATCAATTTATATATTTTTTAATGTTGACTTCAGCATTAGTATAGTAAATTATACATTAGATTATATCTAATACTAATATTTCGATTGTATAAATAATTTACTATTTGATGAATTTTCTTTTTTTTCCTGGATTAGATGAATATTATTTTTTATTTTTAGACTAGATAAATTTTATTTTGTTATCTTTAGATTAAATAAATTTTTTTTTTATTTTTAGATTAGATAAATCTTATTTTATTATATTTAGATTAAATGAATTCTATTCTCAGATTGGATAAATTTTAACTTTTATTTTTTAGATTAAATAAATTTATTTTTTATTTTTAGATTAGAAAAAGTTTCAATTTTATTTTTTAGATTGAATAAATTTTACTTTTTAGATTGAATAAATTTTATTTTTTAGATTAAATGAATTTTATTTTTTTGTTTTTAGATTAGATCAACTTTAACTTTTATTTTTTAGATTAAATAAATTTATTTTTTATTTTTTAGATTATCAAAAGGACAAATAAAATCATAAAGTATCAATGTAATGGAATGGGGATGTCCAATTTGGCTGGAAGTTCAAGTTCTT